AATCTCTAATATTGTCCATCTCTCATGAACATCATGCAGTCTCTCATTTTGTAGTGAGACAATGGGCCACTTCAGTTAATTCATGGAGTCCTAAAACCAGAGCATAAGATTCTAGACTCTGGAATTAGAGTAATACATTGCAAACCTAAATGAAGAATGCAGCAGACCACTGCCAACAGCCCTGTGTTGTTTTATGGAAGCCAAAAGAAATGAAATTTGATGGGGAAGTGATTTGGATGTTGATTTCACATTCCCACAGTTTCTTTGGGACTATGTTGTAAGCAAGCAGATGGGATAGTTTGGTCTTGATAGACCTAATTTATGGCCAAAAGAAAAATGAGAAAGGCATATATAGCTGGCCACTCTCCTATATATCTGGCACTGAAAACTCAAAACCAACTGCTCTCTTTTTGAAGAGACAAAGTAAGTGTTACAGGACACTGTATCCATGGTTTTCACAAGGGACTAAACAATATTCTGATGCAGTGTGGGTTTAAAAACTATTTGTGTAAACCTAAGAACTAGTTAAGAAATACACAGGTGGAGAATATCCCTAACAAAATAGCAAATCACATATACGAACAGATGAACATGCACAGATACCCTACTGTGGTGTTGTGTATGTGTATTGCCCTCCAAGATTTCCTGGAGGGCCAATATGGCCTGCAGAAAGCTGACACTTGCCCACCTTCCCTAAACTGTGGTGCAACTCAGTCATTTTAGACCCTGGATGTAATAGTCTTATCCATACCTTTAGAGGAGAGCATCAAAAATGTAGTTCCAATCATTAATTAAATATAAACAAGTGCAAAGGACTAAAAGGAAACTAGCTGCATGTTATATGATTAAAACAAAAACAAATTGAAATATAAACTTTTAAAAAGTATTCATAACAATATTAATGCAATTGCAATTTGAAAACTTTTTGTATTGTACTTGGCGCTGCATGGCTCCATACCTACTACCCATAAAAGGCACTATGGGGCCACCAATTTTCCTACTTCTCCCATTTTGGTGAAAGAATCTTACCTCAAAGAGCCTTCTGCCACTTTCCTGCCATTTGAAAAACCTCAGAAATTTTCGCACTAGCGTCTTAGCTCTCTTCTGTTTTCTCACTTTTCTCTCCTTACCTCAGGAATCACAGCAGCATGATCAGTTCCTTACCATTGCCTGGATATTTTTATAAATATCGACTGACATTCATGATTGCAGTTATGAATGCATAACTGATTTGTATTTACTGCCCCAATTAGTCTTCTGCCATCCCAGTTTCTCAGTTGCTTTTAAAATGACCCAGTTTCTTTCTTTTCCTCCAACTTTCCCCCTTCATCCTCAGTTTATTTGATTGTTGCAAAAGTTGTTTGTGCTCAATTACTGTATATAGATTATAAGTTGACCTCATAAATTAAGAGTAGGTTTTGGGGCCAAAATTATGGAGTTTGATATGACTCATGGATAAGTCGAGAGCAAAATTTAAGGGCATGTAATGAAGGATGTAAAGGTTGAAGCAAAGGAAAACAATACCTAAGAACTTGAAAAATTCCAGCAGGCATAACTATTTGTGCTCATTCAAAAGGCTGGATAGATGAGAGAGCAGAAGGGGGTCAGTGTTTCCAGGGCAGATTAAACTCTTGCTTATCACCAGGTTTTGTGTGTGTGTGTGTGTGTGTGAGAGAGAGAGAGAGAGAGAGAGAAAAAGTATAGTACTTACATTGACCCGTAGATAAGTTGAATCAGGTTTTTGTGTCAAATTTTCAACATAAATTTCTAGACTTATACATGAGTATATACAGTAACTCAGAAGGAGAGGAGAAGTGAAGAAGGATGCTTTCCGCAGCAAAAAAATCAGCATATAAAATCCAAAGTTTCTCTCCTTAAAATAGTAGCTTTGCATGTTCTTTGTCACTGATAGCATTTGCCCTCTTGTCTTGCCACACTGTTTTGACCACACTCTGATGTTGCTTGGCCACACCTATCCCAGTTTTAATCTGTGAAACCTTGGCAGACAGACTGTTTTGATGAACAGATAAAATAAATAGGAAGATCTTGTCATTAGTTGCTATGCTTTGTTTGGAGAGGCCCAGGAATATTTTTAGAGCAGGGCTGTAAGCCCTCTCAGAATTTAGCAACGTCTCAGATTCACCCAGCCAAGATGGCCACTACACATTCAGGGACTTACTTTTGGACTAAATAGTGGCCATCCTTGCTAGTGTAGTGGCTTTCTTGGCTGGTGAACCTGAGGGCTTTCGTCCAAAAAAGAAATGTTTCCATGCTCTGAGCCCATGAGAAGTTAGAGTACAACTCCCATAGGACTTAGCAAGCATACCTAATAGTTAGGGATGATGGGAGCTACAGGCCCATAACATCTGGAGTTGTAGTCTCTTAACATTTGAAGGGCTTCCTGTAGTGAAGCCAGACAAGGCTGCAGAATATATGGTCAACACATCTGGAGAGAACCTTGTGTGTTTTGTACTGACTGAGGTTTCAAGGAGAGCTACTACCAGGGTTCCAGAGGTTCTTAGCATCCTGCAGGGTTGTTTACAGATTTCTTTTATATCAAGATATTCTGGCTAATTTATTAGTTGCTGTTTAACTGGCAATGATAGCATTGCCTTCATTCATCCGGCTAATTCCGAGGGGTTCAGCAGTGTCTCGGCAACAAACAACACATTATATTCTTATGGACACATCCCAATTTACAGTACATTCCCAGGGCTGCTGAACATTCCTTTTCTTTCCATCATAGTGTTCTACAGCCAGGCAAGTGTGTAGTTCAAGACTGGACTCAAGAGTCTAGAGAATATGAAGCATATTAAATGCTTTTAGTGTTGCACATATCTTGACAATAACAAGGGACATTCATTTCAACCAGCGCAGCAGAAGATATGTGTACTGTCAGATAATATTATTCCAGCAGACAACTGAGTTGCAATGGAAAAAGTGAAGAAAATCTTTCTTTCTTTCTTTCTTTCTTTCTTTCTTTCTTTCTTTCTTTCTTTCTTTCTTTCTTTCTCCAATTTAAATAAAAACTATAAGCAGCCATGCTGTTATGAGTTTTTTTTTCTAGAAGTGAAAACCAGCTATGACCACAAGCCAGCATTATAGCTACTGCATAGGATGGCCATGTGCAAAAGAGATCAGGTCTACTGCACCTTTTGTAGTTGTGTAGCATAGAGATTTCTGTCAGGTAGAGCTTGCCTGCCAAACAATATTTGCTGAAATCCCCTCTTCACAACTATGAAAGTTACAGGGGTCTTCTTTTATTTATGACCATCAATGGTGTAGTGGGTTGAGAAAAGTAAGGTATGCCAGCTCAAGAGCAGGAGTTATGAAACTGACTACTGATAAAATGGCTTCATTGATGGAATCTCCTTGTTCTACCAAACAAATGAGGTAATGAGGCTGTCAAGTTATCATAGAAATTAAAGAATGAAGTCAGCTCACTGTTCTATTACACCTAATTTTAATAAAATTGGGTATTTTGATCTGTACTGCTGTCTGTACATATGTGTCTGTGGCAGAGTTTGGACATAATAAATAACTAGTTCCATTTCTTCCAAAAGCAAAGTCATTAAAAGGATATGAAATAAATAAATGAAATGATTGTATGAGTATAACTTGATGAGGGATAATTTCATTCTTTTTACAGATTAACTACTAGTTACTTTTATAGTTACAAATGTGTGGTGTCACAAAATAGTAGATGCAGAACATGCCTTCTGCTGAGGTGACAGTGAGATGAATAGGAAGAGTATGTTTTGCACCACATGGCAGCAGCTGTAGCATTCAGACAGTACTAAAATGGTAACTAAAATGGGGCAATTCTGGTGAAAGAAATGGGGGAGAAGGACAGGAGCAATGCAGAGGAAAGAGAAAACAGCGGGAGGCAGTAAAGAATGGGGCAATTTAATTCTGTAGTATGCATTAGGTGTGAAGCTTCTGGAATACCATGTTTAGCAAATCCTGTTTTCATTCATATGGAAATGAATTGAGGTCTTAGTAGGTATTAACAGCCCTGTCACCTGTTCATTATTTTTAAAAGACCAAAGAACATACAATAAACTTGCATAAGTTAAAAATGGGAGAGAGTTTGGCTCTAAATTTAGATATTGTCCACCTAAAGTGGAAGAGTGATGTCTCCTATGCCTTTCTGCCTTCCAGCCATCATCTTAAGGGACTCAGGGATCTGAAAGAGAATTGAGTTCCATGCTGTGGCAACATACCACTTCTATTTCCCCCAGCCATTTTGCTCCTTGAAATATTTCAGGGGAAAAGACACATATCCTTATTCCCTGAGCCAGCTGAGCTACGCAAATGCAAACATCTTCCAGATGCAACGCTGTATGACAAAGGCTATACATACAGGTTGGCCTCCCATTAGAAGTCAGTGTAGTCACACAGGAGTCTGGTTGATCAACTGCCATGACTGGAAAAAAAGAAATATAGAAAAAGCATTTTAAGATTATTTATTAGGGGGGTTAAGCCAACATGAATGTTTAATACTTTTCAGAGAGGGTTTGGACTTCTTTTCTATTTCTCATGATTTGAAGAAGAAACAACTAAAGAAGAAAATAGATGGTTTGCAAGCTTTCCAGATGGTGTGGTGCGCTGGATAACACCCCAGTTGCTGTTTTAGAAATGTCTGGGGGAAAGTTATGGAATGATCAATTTTACATTATAAACATCTATGTAAATTGCAGAAGTTATTGTCATGAAACCCCTGCTTGTTCTCTCCATAAAAAATAACAACAACACACACACATAAGGGGTGTGTTTCAGATCTGCAAAAGTCATTGGTAGCCTGCAAAATTGAGGTTATCACTTAAAATGCTGCCTCTATAATAAATTCCTTCAAAGTGCTTGGGCATGAGTACAGAGGATTGACATTGGTCTCCTAAGATGCAGGATGAGTGCTTTTCGCCTAAATTTAATAATCTATTTTGCTAGATGCTACCTTGATGGATGGAGCTATTAAGGGCAAGATAAAACACATATAAGCAGGACCCATTGTGGTACAGTGGTTTGAGTGTTGGACTACAACTCTAGAGACCAGGGTTCAAATCCCTGCTGAACCAGGAAACTCACTGGGTGACCTTGGTCATACTCTCTCAGCCTTAGAGGATGGCACTGGCAAGCCCCTGTTAAGAAATTGCCAAGAAAACCCCATGATACATCTGCCTTAGGGTCACTGTAAGTTGGAAAAGACTTGAAGGCACACAACAACAACATAAGAGATTAGCAAGGCATATTGAGAGTCACAAGGCATTTTCCATTTCTTGTTACTGACATAAGGTTTTCAGATGGCCTTAAGTCAAATTTGGCAATCCTTGGATAGAAGTGTATATATTGTGGCACACAAACCAGATATAGGCACATATACATGGCTTGGAATCTAAGGGACTTTGCAGACTGCCAGAAATAGTGCAAATTGAGTCCACTTCAACTGCCCTAGCTCAGTGCTAGGGAATCATGGGAACTGTAGTTTATTGTGGCAGCAGAGCTCTCTGACAGAGAAGTCTCAACGTCTCAGAAAAAAATACAGTTCCCATGATTCCTTAGCACTGAGCCAGGGCAGTTAAAGTGGACTCAATTTGCACTATTTCTAGCAGTCTGCAAAGGGCCAAAGTGCAGTCAGCCCTTTATATCCATGGATTCTTTATCCACAGATTTAAGCATCCACGGCATGGAAATATATATATATATGAAAGATATCAATTCTAGAAAGCAAACCTCAATTTTGCTATTTTATATAAGGGACACCATTTCACTATTTTATTTTATATAATGGGACTTGACCATCCACGGATTTTGGTATCCATGGAGGGTCCTGGAACCAAACCTCAGCGGATACCAAGGGTCCCCTGTATGTACTTAAAAGAAGAAAGTTTTCAACAGAGTTGGGCCATTTGTGGCCCTGAAGATATAACTCATCTCCAAGTCCCATGTAGGGCTACCAGATATCAGAACCTGGTCCATCTTCTTTGGTTCTGTGTGAGGGGAAGAATCTCAGGGCAAGAACACTGTTTCAGACAGTGGATGTATGGTTGGGTAGTGGAAGTATACCTAATTGGGTTGATGAGTATATTAAGGAGACTGGCTGCCAGAAGACTATGGTTGGTGGGTGGCATCTGAGAATCCTGGCATCAGACCACCCCTCTCTGATTCATGCATTATTACAGATGCTGAGCCACCGCCAGTCTTATTTGCTTCTGTGCAAGAAAGGGAGGTGATTCCATCTTATCCTTTGCCTCTCAGAGCAACAGTCATGCATCTGAAGCTTTTCTCTGCAAAAAAAAAAATATTACAGTCAAATAAACTTTCAACCTTGTCCTTAAGTTTTATGAGACAGGGTTTTACTGTTGGTGAAGCTCAGTGTCATCTAGGCTTGCTTCTTCATATTTTCAGTTATCAAAAGAGAAGCATTCATTCTGCGCTACTGACAGTGGTAAGATGCTGTGACAACCCTGTTTTGCAGATATATCTAGGAAGGTTGTTGAGAAGTTAACATTTGTTAGGCATGGTTATGATTGTCATTAATTGCTAATAGATTGTCTGAAACCAGGCAGGTGGGGAGTGCCATCCACTTAACATACTTGGCTGGTCTGCTGCTTGTAATTCTTATTCTTGCTTTTATGTGACTTGGCAAATGACTATTCATGAGTTTATATCAGCTGGCTACCTTTTTAAAAACAGAGAGATTAGCCTTCTCTGAAACTTGGTTTTCATCTGTCTGTCCCAACTAGATTTTATTATTCCATAGTTATTCTTCCTCTCCCTTCTCTCTTGGGCTAGTGTGTCTAACCTCGGCAAGCGTCAGGTTCCTGAACCTGAGGAAGATGGCCATGAATGTTCAGTTAGCTCAAGGCAAGTATATATTCCAAAACAAGGGGACTGAACTGTTTGTAGATGGCAAAGTCAATGGAACAGGGCTACTTATGAAGAGCTACATAAGAGGGATGTTTATGGAATAAGATAGAAATTCTTACTGAGAAGGCTGCAGTGTTTTGGTCTAATGCCTTGGAGCATGAAGTTCAAAGAAAGCATGGGCCTGCAATGTAATGTGTTTAAAATTCAATGAGAACAAGATTACATGGGTGTGTGCTATGCTTAACTTGATGAGCATGAAAGACTTCTTTAAGTATTTTTACTCACCTCAATGAACTTTTGAACACTTTTTTTTTTAAAAAAGAAAATTTTCTAGAGAAACGAATGCTCAGGAATTCAAAGGGAGCCACACACAGGCATCTACAAGAAGGTAGCCCATTCCTTCTTCACAATCAGCTTGGTTGATGAGGATGCGAAAAATCAACAGGATGTACAAATATTTCCATATTGTGGGGGTATATTCATTGCTGAACAACCATAAATAATTCCATAAGTTTTTTTTTTAAATTGGTACTGGCAGGGGCAGCCAAAATTTCTCAGTCTCATGCAATTCATTGGAAATCACGATCCAGGGACTTTCTGCTTTTGCTTAATGGTTGCAGATTTAAGCCTGTCTGTCATGTGTTGGCTGCAATCCACAATGTACCAGTACAGCAGCTGTTTCATTATCTAATATAGAAGACTATTATTGTGTACATAAGGGCAGAGGAACCTCTCTGTTCCTATGGATGTTGCTGGACTTGAATTCCCATCAGCACTGACCATTTCTGAGGGCTGATGGGACTTGTAGCCTCCAAAATGCCTCTTGGACTCCAGCCCTAAACCTGTATCCTGCATTTCTTTGTAAAAGCACAAGTACCTTTTAGTTTGTGGATTCTGATACTTCCATTTTGTAGTACTTTTAAAAAGTTTTTGTTTTTGCATTACAAATTATCACAATATTTGCATTTCAAGTAAACAGACAAATTGTTTTAAAGGAGATGAAGCTGATCAATTTGCCAGAGGATAAGTCCCCCTCCCATTTTTTAACAAGAATCCTAAGATAATGAAATGAATTGCTTTTTAAGAATTAGTTCCATTCAAGGCACAAGCCAGTTTCTGTAAAGTGATTTTTAAGAGGAAAGCCTGATTATCAATACTGATTTTAATATGGTGTATGCTATTTCTAATTCATTTGTTGTCTGCACAAATGAGAATTGAGGCTTTGGAATATTTTATTTATGCCTGTGCTTGCAACCTCAGACTGTGTGTTATTTCTGTTTACCGTGTTTAATTTTCTGCTTATATTGTTTCTGTTTTCTCATCCAGTGTGATGAGCTATGGTTGTCAACAACAAAATAAACAAAATTGAACTTGCATTATTACTCTGATCTAAACTTTTGTTTCATCTCACAGAGGAACTGGCTCTTAAGCTAAATTTCTAATCTGAAAATTAACTGGAGAGGTTGTTGCCCAATGTTACTGGGGAAACACATTTTAAAATATTCCTGTTTCAATTTGTGACAATTTGATTAGTCCTAATGAAGATATTGGCCAACAATTGATTTTTGAATTCATTTTAAGAAGAGGCTGACTAAGCTTGGTGAAAGAACAAGAGATTCAAAACTTACAGAGTTCCATTCCAGATCAGTGATTTAAAATACAAAGGACTAGTTACAATTCAGTTATTTTTCTTAACACTACGAGAGAAGTCTATGATACTTTGAGCAATGTAATGTGCAGGAATGGATCAACTACTGAACACTTCTGGTTGAATCCAGAAGAGGGCACTGCAACCCACTGCTAAATAATTGAGCAAATTTATTAAAATTAATTAGTGTGTGTGTGTTTGTGTGTGGTGAGCTGGCTTTTCACTTTGGGTTGTCAATTATAAAACCCCTTGCCGATAAAGGTTTTTACTGCCTGATATGATGGCTATTGTTTTCAAAGTGATTATGTCATATGGCACAATAATGGAAATAACTCTGGCAAGATTGGCAGTTTGCAATGGAATTCAAGGGAAAGATGCTTACAATGGGTGTCTAGCAACAAGAGCAACAAAATGCAATTAATACCTTAAATTTAATTCTTAACTGGCCAACATATAGGAGGTGTCTTTTTGAGGGAATTTTTTGTTGTTGCCTCATCATCTCTCTGCAAGATAGTCTGCTTGCTTGTGGTCCATATGCTGGCTATAATTTCTTCCTAACTCAGCAGCTTGTGATGATGCTTGGCTTTAGCCTTCTTAAAGATCTTATGCTAGAAAGACATCTCTTTCCTAGATCAGCATGGCAGGAAGTCATGGGTCTAGCGTGACTTCTACTGTTTGGTATTGTGAACTTTAGCTTTTGTCAGCATGCAATAAAATCTGTGCTTAAAGATTTTCATTCCATGCTATGGTCGGGAGGGAAGGACGAAAAAGTTCAGTGTGATAATCTCCACAATTATAGCACCATTGTTCCTCTTTAATGTGCCATGGTTTCTTCCTATGGAATCTTTCCCTTTGTATTTTAGAGAGGGGCAAAGCTAGAAAATATACTATGTAGAGCAGGTTTAGATGTAGGAAGAAGGAAGAGGAGTGAAGATACAAGGAAGGAACATCAACAATCTAAGATATGTAGATGGCATCATAGTACTAGCAGAAAGCATCACAGACTTGAAACTATAACTAAAGAAAGTCAATGAAGAATGTGCAAAGGCAAGCCTAATGTTAAACACAAAGAAAACAAAAATAATGATGATGGGGGATTTCCATAAATTCAACCTAAATAATGAGAAAATTGCAATAAAGACTTCCCATACCTTGGATCAAACATTGATCACAACAGAGACTGCAGTCAAGAAATCAGAAGAAGTGAAGTCGTAGGCTTTCATGGCCGGCATCCATAGTCTTTCGCCAGCATCTCTGGCTGGCATCTTCAGAGAAACGTCAGAAAGAAACTCTTCTAGAACATGGCCACACAGCCTGAAAACCCCACAAAAGACAATCAGAAGAAGATTAGGAATGGGAAGTGCAACTATGAAAAAACTAGACATAATCCTAAAGTTTAAAGACATACATCTGAACATTAAAGTTAGATTTGTCCAAGCCATTGTATTCCCAATTACCACATATGGATGTGAGACCTGGACAATGAAAGCAGATAGGAAGAAAATTAATTCATTTGAGATGTGGTGCTAGAGAAGAGTGTTGAGGATTGTGGATGGCCAG